TTTCGAACATACCACGCATAAATCTGAGCTGTTAGGGTCGTTCTTACTTCTTCTGATATGCAACCACTGGTTGACCGGTAGAGCCACGTACGAAATGAGCCACTGTAGGCTTCTGATTTTGACTGTTCGGATTGACTTGAACTTTTCCATGGTATTTGTGAGATCTGGCTGGAGTCCTAACCTATTAACTTCTGCCATCTGTTTTTAATTGTTGGGTCAGGATCCTTTGTCTTGAGGAGTAGCTCATATCCCAGTTTAACTGTGTATTCCTGAATGTGGACGTTCGTTTTGAGACTTCTGCTTCTGTTTGGTGTCCAAGCCCATTCTGCCGGGTCGAGTTCCAAGTCTTGAATCGCCATATCCATTCTGAAGATTGTTTTGGGCGTGCCCAGAACTCTTACTTTCCTGAGAATAAACAAATCTAAGACTGTTCTTTCCACGTCCGTATTCAGAATGGACGAAGAGCCGTGAAGTGATGATGTGATTGGGAAGGAGGTAAAGACGGCCAGGGTATCTGATCCCTGCTGTTTGTGAGAAAATTGGTAGGCTCTTGAGGGCGACAATTCTTTTTTTTTTTTTTTTTTTTTTCCCTTGACTCCCCATTCCCCAGTTTTCCAAGTCGACGCTTCACTCAGCAGCTCCTTCCAGCCTTCTGGAATGCATTTGATGATAGTTTGCAAATTCTCCTCCCGCCGATGGCATCCTTTAAGGCGGGTGGTAAGTTCCTGATTGGTCAGCCAATCTTTTTTTTCTTCGTTCCATATATGACTCGCTCTTCAGATTCCATGCTTTATCCATGACAGCCATCACATACCCCTTGGTTTGAGGGAGAGCGAGTGATCGCTTTCATCTCTCACCCAAGGGTGGCCGAATAGCGGTTGCCTCAGTACCTCCTCTTTGGACTTGGGTTTACCTACCTTCTTCGGCATAATTTCCCACCATATCTGAAGCAAGGCTGCCCAATAGAGTGTGGGAGGCCTGGCTTGATTTGGACGAGCTCCTCTTGATTTCCACCTGTTTTGGGGGTCCATTCCTTATTCATTGCCCAAAATAAACCGGACATGTTCGCTGGTGTCGCTGTTGGGGCTAAACCCCTTATGCTATCCAAGGCCAGTTTGTTCCATGCTGATTCAGGTTTGGTCAGTAGTTTGACAATCCATTGGGCTTGTAGGGCTTTTGTTTCTTGTTTAGGGTCTGTAATACCCACCCCCCCTTTGTCTGGTTGCCTTGTGATATAATGCCATGCTATGTTTGGTATACAGTTCTCTTTGTTGGGGTTTCCTGACCATAGGTACGCTCTTGCTTTGCGGTTGAGGTCTTTAAGTGATTGGTCTGGGATTGTCCAGATTGAAGCAATGTACCACATCATTGAGAAGATGGATGTATTAATGGCTAATGCGAGGCCCAGCAAGGAAGTAAATGTGTTTCCCCACCTGCCCAGCTTGCTTATTTGTTTGGAGAGTACATTCTGGGCCATTTGAGGGGCCAAGCCTTCTTTAGTCATCAGAATACCCAGATATCGCGTGGGAGTGTTCGGTGTTTCCCAAGTCATGGCTGCCTCCGGACCTTGGGGCTGGGGGATCGCATCCTCAGCTACCACCACCGAATTGTTTTTCCCCAGTCGATTTTCATTTCTGATGCCAGTCTGAATGCTTCAGATGAGTCTGAGGCTCGAATGACGACAGTGAGGTCGTCTGCAAACATTATTACAGTAGGAAATCTTAAGTGGTGAGCTGATCCTACATTCAGTTCTGGTAGCATGTGTAGGGAAGTGTCTTTGTACTTTTCCCAGCCGTTTTATTCCAATGCAGCTGTCAACCGACCACGTTCTTTGGGCTCGGCCTACGAGGCTGAGATGGCTGGCGGTGCCAGGCCACGAAAGAAAAAATGCCTGCGTTGGTTCATTTTTCATTGGTGCGCAGCACGAATCAGCATCCGGAAAGATCGGCCCATAAGTACTGGTGGTTTGATACAAAAGTTTGAGTGTTTGCTTAGCGTTGCTTTTCTGTGCAGTGAGGACTGCTGTGTGAGGTCCCCTGTGTGTGAGGACCCTGTGTGAGGATCCCTATGGAGCAGAGTTCAGTTTGGTTTCCATTTCGAGACTGTTACTACAGAGCAGAACTGAACGGATGGCAGAAATCGTGCATGGTTGGAACCTGCACACAGGTGCAATCAGACTCGCTTTCTTCTTTGCTTCACATACATGCAAACAGATGGCGATTCACACTGGCGCACAGCGCCCACTCAAAACTCAGAGATATGGAAATCGAGAACTCGGTTCAGATGCAAACTTGCTTCCACAGGCTATGGCGCATGAGCGCCTGCACATCCAACCCTCGATATTGTTCCCAACACCACTGTTCACACTCACTTAACTCTGGATCACCCTGAATACCCCACACACGTTCATACACTCACACCTTCTCTCCTAACTACAGCTGCTATGGCCGCTCACCTACTACGGCTACCCTAACTTCTTCCAGCCCACTTTGATTTTGGGCGCTCTGCAGACCACCTCGCACAAGACACTGTAGCAGCGATTCCGCATGGCTTACGGAGCGAATGAATGAATTGCTGGACGCTGCCCCTTGATTTATACTTCTGTTGGTCGCTGGTCTGCCCCTTTCCTCCAGGCCCTCGATGCACACAGTCCCACACGGTACTTGCTTGACTGGACTGCAACTGACTGGACCGGTACCGCTGACTGCACGGGGTTGCACTGCCGACTCAATGCAGTCGCACTGTCTACTCAACGCAGCTGGACCTACGACTTACCTACAGACCTCGAGCCTAGCAGTTTCGACTTCTACACAGCTGTAACCCCAACTTGACAGGTCTACAGATCGAATCCCTACAACTACAGGGACCTACGACAAAGCACAGTCACTACTAAAACACAGGTCGTGGGTTCAAAACACACAGGGGTCTACTCGATACTGTACACGGGCGCAGGTAAAGTCTAGGGATCGAACCCTGGGATCTACATCTGCTTCTGCAAAGGTGAAAACCGTTTCACAGGACTCTTATCCACGTATTTTGCTTGCTTCTCTTGCCTGTGAGGACCCACTCCACAGTCATCAAACTCCAGGCAGGAGGCAAAGCCTGAACATCTTCTCCTTTCCCGTCATTGCCATTATCATCATCATCATGGTTGTTGCAATCATCATCATCATCATCTGCACAACTTTATCATCATCAATGTCATTGTCACGCTCATCATCACCCTCGTCGTCACCCTCATGGTCACTTTGATCGCTCTCCTCGTTGTCATTGCAGTGCGCCAGAGTTGCCTGGTTTAGGGTGCCATAACGAGTCATCGCTGTCCTTCTCATCGTCGCTGTCGTCCTCGTAATCCTTCTCCTCGCTCTTGGCCTCATCCTTGCCATTGCTGCCATCCTCCTGCTTACCCTCGCCCTCGCCCTCTCCTTGTCCATGTTCTCCTCCTTGTCCTCGCCCTTGTCCACCTCCTTGTTGTTGTCCTCCTCGTTGTCCGCATTCTTGTCCTTGTCCTCGCCGTTGTCATAGTTATTGTTGCCGAGGTCATCTTCGTCCTTCTCCTCATCATCGTCATCGCCCTTGCCCTTGCCCTTGCCGTCCCATCACCCTCATTCTTGCCCTCACCCTCTCCCTTGTCCTCGGCCACGTCCTGGTCCTCATTGGTGTCTTCTCTTTGTCGTCCTCATTCTCATCCTTGTCCGTGTGTTTGTCCTGTCCTCGTCCTCGTCTTCATTTTCGTCCTTGTCCTCATCCTCGTTCTCGTCCTTGTCATCCTTCTCATCCTCATCCTCGTCCTTGTCCTCCATCCTCGCCCTTGTCCTTGTCCTTGTCCTAGTTGTCATCATTGTTGTATTTGTTGTTGTCCTTGTGAAGTTGGACATCCTCGTCTGTCTTCCTCATTCTCATCCTCTTTGTCCTCCTGGTCGTCCTCCTCGATGTCGTCCTCGTCCTTGTCTGTGTCCTCCTTGTACTTATCATCGTCATCTTTGTCCTTGTCCTCGTCCTCCTTGTCCTCCTTGTCCTCCTTGTCGTCATCCTCATCCTTTCCTCCTCCTCCTCCTCGTCCTCGCCATCCACCTCGTCACTGTCCTTGTCGTCCTCGCCGCCCTCATCCTCAACCTCGTCCTCGTCATGCACATCCTTGTCTTCATCCTTGTTGTCCTCCTCCTCATCCTCCTCCTCCTTGTCATTGTCCCTTGTCCTACTCCTCCTTTGCCTCCCCCTCCTCCTCCTCCACCTCCACCACCACCTCCTCCTCCACCTCCACCACCACCTCCTCCTCCTCCTCCTCCTCCGTCTTCACCTCCCCCGACCCCCCCTCTCTCTTTTTGCCCTTTCCCTCCGCCGCACCACCGCCCTAGTCCCCCCCCTCCCTCTTTCGAATGATTGTCTATTTCCCCGTAGTGCAATTATTGAAGATACCCCTCCTCCCTTGTGACTCTATTGAAGGTACCCCTACTATTTTTTCTTGTCTTTTCTATTTGCGNCCCTCCTCCTCCTCCTCGTCCTTCTCCTCTGCCTTTTTGTCCTTGTTCTCTTTGTCCTCCTCCTCCTCCTCCTCCTCCTCCTCCTCCTCCTCCTCCTCCTCGGCCTCCGCTTCCTCTGCCGCCTCCTTGTTATCATCAACATCGTCATTGTCGTTGTCGTGTCAACTTCATAATCGTTGTCATCATCATCATTGTCATCACCATCCTGCTCCCCCTCCGCCGCCGCCTCCTCCTCCTCATCATCATTGTCATCAGCACTATTGTCTGCATCATCATCATAATCATCAATAGAGGGCTTGCACTCGGCATTTTCTTGCTGTTTTACTTTTTCCCTATCGGATTGGGGCTTTTCTTACTGCCAGTAGTGATTTTGAAGTGAAGCTACGCTTTACTGGTTGTCAATCTTAAGCCTAAGTGGTACATATTGCATAAACATTTCCAAGGGGTTGCTGCGTTCTCTCACTTGAGTCTTGATAAAGCCTAAGGTATGCGAACTTCTCCTCCATTGTCATGCAGATGAAGGTCATCAAGGAAGAGCTTGGAGACAATGAGGACGATGATGATGATGTGGCGGGGTTGCAGAGGAAAATGGAAGCCGCCAGAATGCCGCCAAATGTCTGGAAACAAGCTCAGCGAGAGCTCAGGTAGAGTTATCACTTGCTTGAAGTGGTGTTCCCTTCTTCGTTTTCGCTTGTTTCTTCTTTGTTACGATCCTGGCCAATTTCGAAGTACAAATTCACAAGAAAGCACAATGCCGAGCAATTGCAAAAAGAAATGAATGAACTTCAGAGGAGAGAGAGGGGAAGAAGAAGAAGAAGAAGAAGAAGAAGAAGAAGAAGAAGAAGAAGAAGAAGAAGAAGGCCAACTGCTAATTCCCTTCCTCTCGCCAACCAATCTCCTCCTCCTTTTCTCCTCCCTTCTTTATTCAAACAATAAATAATAATAATGATGATGAATGGACGAACCAGGATCAATGTCCGAATTCCTCTTGTACTGCAGGCACGACATGAGGTCCACCATAGCCATGGCCGCCCTTCTCCTTCCTCTTCATAAAGGCCGAGGCTATGGCGGACTACTAGGGCCTTGCCCAGACGTGCAAAAGACAACACAAAGCAGCTATGACTGCTCCTACTCAGGCCGCCATGCCTGACTCTGCCTCGAAGCTTCTTGATGCCGCTCTATACCCCAAGGGGGGCATTCCAGATGCAGTGCTCACCAAGTTGATGAATATGGCGTCCACCATATCCATGTAAGTGGCCCTGACGCTCCTCTCCCTTATCCCCCTTCTTCGTCCTCCTCCAGGCTGATCTCCTCCACCATAGCCAAGGGGGAGAGCTGGGCGCTCGTTCTCCCCAGCAGCGCTGCTCCAGACCAGCGTGCTCCACCACGCGCTCCAGCAGTGTGTCGTCCAAACTCGCATGCGCAAATGAGGCTGAGCTCTTCGCTCAGCCGGAAGATATAGCGGCCAACTTGCCTCTTGGACGGTGACTTCCAGGCTGTGTGGCCTCCAAGCAACCGGTACCTCCTCCCTTTCAGAGAGAAACGTCATTGCAGGCTCTGGTATCGTCCGCACAGGCCCTAGACTCAGACTACTTGGACTGGTACCCGCCTAGACCTAACCTACAACTACTGGGCCTCTAAACATGCCAACGTTTGTCTTGTTCTGCTCGGCCTCGATTACCCGACACATCTCCCACTACTTGGTGTGGTACCGGCCTACCTTTCCCCACTGCTCTAAGTGTCACGGGCGTATTCCCGCCACTTGAGTGTTTTCCCCGCTGCAACGCTCAATGTCACGGCCACAGGTAAGTACTGGCCCTACGGGGCCTCCCAAGCAAGCAAGTACCCTTGCGGGTCACACACACACTCAAGTCGTCAAGCACTCAGACAGGCACGCAGACCAGCCAGCACGCACGCACACAGACTTGGAAAACTAAGCAGAAAGCGTGAATCTCAGCAAGGCATTCGTTCTAGCGGCAAAACTCAGAAATCAGCTGTGTTTGGCCAGGTCCTTACACTACCCCCCCCTCAAGAGCGAGGTCCCTTCGAGCGAGTAACTCAATCTACGTCCCTGACAAACACACCATAAGCAAACATAGTGAAGATATTCCGTGAATACTCAGTAGCAGTGAGTTTTGCAGAGATTTTTGGAACAGCATCGGAAACTATCTGTCGTTCATATGCTCTAACAAGGGGAGGTGCGCTGCTCAGCAGTTTCTTCTTGGAGATGCAGAGTAGTTTTATATCCGATGGCCAACCATTCCGCAGCCTACCGGTAAAGCCGACCGGCAGGCAGTCTGCTGACTGGTCGCTATGTTCATTCTTTTTTGAAATCCGAGTTTGGGCCTGTACTGCAC